TCTAAGTGACTCCTTTGCTTTTTCTTTTTAAAGATGTGGTAAGCAGCACTTACTGGCCTTATGTACCAGTTGTATAAGAAACAATAACACCAAAGATAGATATGCATAGAATTCTTGTGCCCAATCAACTCCCCCCCCCCTTAAGTTCTCTTTAATTTGGCAATACCTTAATTCTCTAAACAATGCTACGGTAATTGACAGCATTTGGAAATTATCTTTGTCTTGTTCGGTACTTGAAGGGCATGAAAAATTCCCCTCCACTTCCTCACCCTCTCCCAGGGGTCATTTTCCCCTCTCTTTTCTCTGCCCTGTTTGCCCTCTGACCCCGACTAACTCTGCTGTTTCCACTGACTTCTGAATCTAATTAATGTCTTAGTGGCTATATAAATGAATTATGTAGGCAGAAGGATGTTGGAAACTTTAAGAAAAGTGCATTCCTTAGGGAAAAACCTGGTTTTGCTAAAGGGGGAGGGGGGAGGGAGGAACACACATTCCCAGGGGGTAGAATGTCAGTAGAGTGTAAAACCCCAATAATATACTCACACTCAATAAAGAGCTGTTGCCTGATAAGCAGGCAAAACCTTAGGAACATCTATTTTGACATCCAAGTCATAACCAGCCACTATAGAAGCTGGTTGTGTGGACAGACTGTCCACATGTGCTGCTATCCCAAATTGGCCACTTAGCGGGAGGACTGGCCTCCCTTCCCCTCTGCCTCTCTTTTGCAGCCGGTTTACAACCATTTGCAGGGAGTATGTCCTTAGAGAATCTCTGGAATGACCCTGGCTCGCTCTCTCAGGGCCCCAGAATGTACTCTAGTGATCCAGGACAGCAGGCAAGCAGGGAGGAGGGGCGGAGTGCTGAAGTTCTCAGCCAGAGGATACTGTCAGAGAGCCCAAGGCGGAGATGGTCCCTATGCCCCAGGTTTCCATGGAAACATAGGAGGAGTGATGACAGCCAGCACAGCCGCACCATCTGCTCAGGACCTGGTGAATGTTTAAAAAAAAAAAAAAAAAAAAGAAAGAAAGGCACCTGGGATCTTAGGCTAGAACACACAGAGATACCTGTGGAGAGACAGGAGAAGGCCGAAGGACACGAGACATCCTGTGTGGATTCAAAATCCATGCTGTCCTGAGGCTGGACAGATCAGCTTGTAATTCCAAAGCAGAAGGCCTAGAGGGTTTATCCTAGCATCCCTAGATACAGTTACAGACACCCAAGGAACCTCCCCCCAAGGAGCCTCCGGGAGGAGAAGCAGACTGAGTGGTGTGTCTGGGAGCTCTGCTGGAGCTGCTGAAGGTGTCCCAACACACCACGCTGGAGGAGGAGGAGCAGGGGCTGATGGGAGCTGGATGAGGCTCCCACCACCTTCCAGCAGGACCACCTGCAGAGCTGGCTTTTGGCCTCACATATTTTTCTAGAGGACTGGCAGGATTCAAAAGAGAGAGAGAGGGAAAAAAAATCCTATCTGGTCATGAAAGCCGCCTCTGAGGTACAGCTGGGTCTTTGGAATAAGGCATGAATTAATAAAGCCACGTAAGGGTTCTCTTCTCTCAATTCCTATCTACAGGGAGATCTTAGTGAGATGCCACTGATTTGCTTCAGGGTCTACGTAGGAGGCTTCTAGTTCCAGGTTGGCAGAGTGAGTGGGGCCATTGCTTGGGGCACTCATGTGCCCCAGATGGAGCAGGATTCATTTCTTAGTTCTTTTACTTGGCCGTTTTAGCCTAAATAAAAAAACAAACCTATTCAGGAAGAAAACAGCACCTGTAATTTAGCTACCTTCCCCAGCTGCCCCCTCCTGAGTCGGGAGGCTTCCCTTGGCTCTTAGCAGTATGGCTCGCATCTCCCTGGGGATATAAGTCCCCTAGTCACGAGTTCTGTAAGTTACACACACAAAAAAAAATCTACAGTAGCTTCACAGGGAACACCATTTTTAAATTTTTAATCTGGGCAATGTCTTACTCCTTTAAATAATAATAAAAAAATACATAAAACAAAACAAGAACAACTTTTCTGACAATTCTGGTGAATATTCTCATCCCAGAAGGCCTAAGACCCCCTTTTGCTTTGTATTAAGGCTTTTCAAAATTTGACAACTAGATGAAGTGCTTGCCTTGGTTCATGCTTCTAGAGACTGAAGGATAATGGGAGCACTATCATAAACCAGATAAATAATAATAAAAAGTTCTCTTCATAAAGGCTCTCATGCACCATTCTATCTTTTACTTCTAGAAATTATTAATTTAGAATTATTTCGATGGATAGCTCATAGCTCAGGAAATAATGGTATCTACAACTATTACTTGGGGTTCTTCTAAAGCCCCCATCCTCCAAGTGGACAATTTTCACAAACACATAACACTGGAAATAAAAATATGAATGCAACTATCCCCCTGTTAAAGGCCTCAAATAGAAAATAACACTGATTCCTGAAGAAAACATTTTAAAAAATTGCACAGTGAAATTGCTTTAGGCTCAAGTACACTCATATATTGACACAAGGCTCCAGAGTTTAGAGTCAAATATAAATCTACCCATTACTTCATAGTTCTTTTGGAAAGACCTTTTGTGAATAAGCCCCTCAAGCAGCTTTACTCCCCCCCACCCCACCCTTTCCATTTCTGGAACTTTCTATTTATCTTCAGCCTCCTGGCTGGGGGCAAATCTGTATCTTGAGCTTCAAATCTGGCTTGGGACTCACAGTAAACATGGTTCTGCTTGTTCTTCACCAGCCCTCCTTTGTATAAACAGATGTGGTGGGAAGGGAAGGGAAGCCAGATCCCCGTGAGGGGCAGGAGGTCTCTTTTCTGGAGAAGTTTCCCAGCTGCAGCCAGGAGCCCAAGGAACAGGACACGTTTCTCCTTCAGGCCTTGGAACTGGCAGTTCTTCCAAACAGGGGCTGTTCCTCTCGCTCTCTCCTCCACCCTCCACCCCCAGCCTTTGTTCCTGAGAATGCTGTCTCCATGTGATGTCTAGATCTCACTTTTGCCAGAGCAAACATTTCCAACAAGGCTTATGCTAAGGAGATACTAGGAAGAGAGATTTTTTTTTTTTTTTTTACCCCTTCTCTGGAGACTGGGATTTGGGAAGCCAGCCCTCCACACCTGTACTTTTTCCTCTGTTAACATTCCCTTTGTTCTTTTGTAGCTTTTATCCAGGGAGGTTTTTAAGGGTGGGAAGTTGTCAGTTTCCAAAATAACAATTCTGTTTTCTGCGGCTGTTGATGCAGTCTCTGCCGAAATTCAGTGTTTTACATTTTTGCACATTAGTTATGGATACGAATAAAGGAAGGAATACTACTTCAGGGCTCTGGAAAGAAGGAGGTGGGGCTGACTATTTTGCAACCCAATCTGAAATAGGAAAGAATTTTCATTGGCCTTCTGGCCTTCTACCTGTGTCCAGGACTTAGTTTGTTAATCCTCCTTCAGGGGTGGGTGAGGTGAAGAAGGTGGAAGGGAGTCTCTAGGTTTGACCCTGGAGGGGACCCTGTGACTTCCACCCAAGGGTCCAAATTTCTGGCCTCCCCAGACAGCCACTGTTCTTATCCAGAAAAGGAACAAAGGAAAGGAGCGCCTGGAAGGACTTCCTGATGGCAGGGAATGTAGGGTTTAGTGTGAGAAGTGAGGCCATTGCTCTGTGCCCCTCTCTCCAAGAATTCTGGGGAATTTTAAGCGGATGCTCCCAGAGCTGTGGCCAGGAGGACAGGAGAGTCAGGGACCCAGGATGGGCCCCATTTTAGACCAGCAGAGGAGAAGCAGAGTTCCAGTTCTGATCTGCTGACTTGACTCTCAGTGTATCTATGACAGTGAGCGGCATGGGTGCGGAGGGCGTTGGGGGGACGTTCCTTAAACCAGGGCAGCAATAGTAACAAGGACTTGGATTTTTAGGAGCTACGATAATACTCTGTCATCATTCCAGCTGACAGTCTGCCACTCTCCAGACAGGAGAGGCAGCGGGAAGTTTGCAGTGGACACCCAAGAAGCCTTCCCTTTAAGAGAAATTAAAAGAAAGCCGGTTGGTTTCCAGGGACCCTCCAGTTGGGGGGATCCTGGGACACCCCCCCCCCCCCGCAGGCCAAACTGCAGCTGAGAGCCGGTCTTCTTAGAAGGGCTCTCCTTCCCGCTTCCTCTGTATTTCACATAACTTACTGACTCCATATATTCGAAACGATTTGTTTACGGCGCTGCTGCGGGCTGCAGTTAACTCTCACCGCGCCTGGGGCGGCCAGGGAATTTCCCAGCACCCACCTCAGGTCTGCAGCCTGCACAGAGCCCGCGGCGGCGCGGAGCGGGGGTCTAGTGAATTCGGGGAGGCAAAAGAAGTGCGTGCAGCCGGGACAGGACCGGGTGGGGCCGGCGAGGGCAAGAGGCAGAGGGATGCGGCAGGCCGGGCACGGCTCAGCATCCCCCTGCACTCGGTGAGGTCGCCTGCCTTTCTCCCCAGCTCTCGGGACCGGCCCGGGCATCCCGGGGCTGCGGAGGGTCAGGAGGGCCGCGAGGGTCTGGGGAGCAAAGGGCGACCCCGAGGCGCGGCCTGCTAGCGGCGCGGGACCCCGAGGAGCTGCGCGGGGAGCGCACGGGCGCGCGGGGCGGGCGCGGCGCGGGGCTCACGGCGCGCGCGCGCCTCGGCCTCGCCCGCGCACACGCGCCTCCCCGAGGAGAAAGAGGCGGGCGAGCGGGCGCCGAGCACCGCGGCGGCGGCGGCGGCTGCAGCGGGCCGGGCCGCCGCGAGGGAGGGAGGGAGGGGAGGAGGGGAGGAGGGGCGGGCGCAGGGCCGGGGAGGGGGCGGCGGCGGCGCGGCGAGCTCGCCGCTCTCTCGTGAGTGTGCCTGCGCGCGAGCCGGCGAGCGGGTGAGTGCGCTGGGCGCTGCTGCCAGCCGGGCCGGCCGGGAGTCGGGGGCTGGGGGCGCCGGAGCCCCGATCCGGGGGCCGGCGGCGGGCGGGCGGCGGCCCCTGGGGCGCGGCCGGGATGCACCTTGAGCGGTGCTTTTCGTTGCAGCGCGCGGGCGGCCCGAGCCTTGGAGGCGGCGGCGGCGGCGACGGCGGTAGCGGCGGCGGCGCTGACACCTCCCACCATGGACAGCTTCGACTTAGCCCTGCTCCAGGAATGGGACCTCGAGTCGCTGTGGTGAGTCCCGGTGCCGGCCGCTTCGGGCGGGCGGGAGCGGCGAGGGGAGCCCGGGCGGCCCGCGCGCCCTCACCTGGGCCGGGGGGCTCCGGCCGCCGTGGGGGTGGGGTGGGCCGGGGGCGCCCGCCTCGCCGGCTCCTTCCTGCCTCTCCTGGCTGGATGCACCGCCGCCTTTCCCTCTATTTGCCCCGCTTTCTGGTCCCCTCCCCTCCGTGCTGCCTGCCCCAGCCCAGGGGGCCCGCGATATGTGTGCCAGGGGCAGATCGCAACCGTGGAGAGAAAAAGAAGCGATTTTTAGAACGTGTCACTAATGCCTGGGGATCCACCCCTCGATGTCCTAACCCCTCTCAGCTCCCTCCTCTCCGATTGCGCCTCCTCCCAGTTCTCCGAAAGCCTCGGGCTCGCACCCGCGACCCCCTGGAGTTGGCGCTGCTGCGAAGTGCCCTCAGAGGATGCTCCAGCCCCCTCCCTGCCTGCGCCGGGTCTTGGCGGCTGCATCCTTTCTGTCTGTCCCACCCACTCCCACTCGATTTGGAAAAGTGAACACCCAGGGCAGGAGGCGAATTTTTCTCCGTGCGGGAATTCCAGAGGCCTTGGCCCAGGGAGACTGGTTTCCTGGAGGTTCACAGTTCCTCTGGGCCCTTTCTTCACACCTCACCACAGTTGTACTCCTCCTCCTCTTCTCCACCCTCACTCCAGGCGCGGCGCCCCGTGTGTCCCTTTATGCTTTGCTCACAGCTCGCAGCCTGGGTGCACTCTGGGTTGTTTCTCGGGGATCTCACATTAAGGAGCTGCTGTAGGTAAATCGCAGGTAGAAACAGTTTAATTCCGGTTGCGGGTGTCTTAAAAATCCCATTGGCTGCTTCAACATCCCTCTTATTACCCCTCACTCCCCCTCCCCATCCACCCCACTATCTCTTAAATGTTTCCAACTAGCCCTATTCAGGTGGTGGAATTACTGCCTGCATATTCCTGGAGGAACTTGTGTTATGTTTAATATTTACGGGGATGAACATCTGCTGGAACAAGCATATTAACTGTACTCTGTTCTGCCTCTGGTAATCGCTTATTGTAGTACTGAGCCCCCCCCCCCCCCTTAATTCAGTAAAGATTTCACATGTGTCTAAAACTGCAAGTGGTGTGCACATGAATATGCAGTGCACAATTTTAAAGCTAAACTGCTGTATGATTTATGGCTCATATGGATGATATGTGGTCTATGTGGGTATTTGCAGTGATTTAGGCTTCCAGTGACTTTTATTTTCCTAAAGACAGGTGTAACAAAATAAACTAGACACAAAGCTAGCGAATTATGGAGCAGTTTCTTATAAAAGATCCGATGGTGTGTAAGTACAGCTTGCTCTGCATAATGCTGGCGCCTATAAAACACACAAGGATGGGCCCTAATGTAATAAAACTTGTATATATTACACTGGAAACTTCAAAGAGTCAGTGTAGAAAGAATATGAAACATGTTATTACTCTATTAAAGTTGCTAATTACTGTGTTGCTGCTCCTGGGGATATTTCAGCCTTTCATTTACAGATACCTATTATTTTACAGGTTTACATTTAGAAATGTTGGTTTCTGGCACCAATTCAATAGGTTTCCAGATTAGCAACTGTACTTTAAAAAATGACTGTTGCTTTTTAAACGGCAGTCAAAGGGAAGAACTTATTGTTTTGCCATATTTTTTATGCTGCTCGTCTGCTTGCTGACTCAAACTGAATCCCTTCATGACTTTTATAAGTGGTGTTTTGAGATTATCAGCCATAATTTGTGGACTCTTCCAGCACAGGGCCTGAGCACTATTTTCCTTTGCAACCTTAGTTCCCAGATGAATTACCTGGAACACTGTTAAACAATAAATGTCTGTTGAATTGACTTGGAATTTATATTAGTTACAGTATACATTATTTCTTTTACAAAAAGAAAAATTAAACATTTCAATAAAAACTGTACATGTAATCATGTTTTAATCAATACATCAATTTTTGGCATATAGAAGCATTCTTGATTACAATATAGTAGGACAGTTTGGCTGGAGTGTTTCCCATTTTGCAGATGTAGCATTTACATATCACAAATGCTTGTGTGTTTTATCTTTAATTTAAAGATAAACCAAACTCCTTGAGTAGAGATTTTTCTCTCAGTTATGGGTGAATTTTTGGATGGTATGTTCAAACTTAATTTTATGGTTTACTTAAAATTTTGTTTTTGGTTTACATTTAAGCTAATAGGTGATCCAGAATAGCTATTCAACTACTTGCTGTGTTGTCTGGTATTTTCATGGCCATTGTTTTCTTATTTGAATCTCATGACAATCCTGGCAGTGGTAAGTGGAAGGAGTCCCATTATATAGACGAGGAAGTACAAGCTTTGAACTGTTATGTGACTTTACTGAAACCATAAAACAAATAACAGCAGACTCCAGAAAACTAATATTTACTGAGCACTTATTTTTACCAGACGCTGTTGTAGGTAAGGTACATATTTTAGGGCATTTAATCTACATAACAGTCTTACAAAGCAAGTTCTCTCAGTTGTCTCATTTTACACATGGGGAAATTGAGGTAAACTGCCCAAGGTCAGATAGCTGCAAGAGGAGAGGTATATATATTTGAACTAAGAATTAGCTTCAAAACCCACTTTTCTGATTTCAAATCCAGTGCATTTTCTAGAATCCTGCAGATGTCTCTTCGTTTGTAAAGATGGCTCTGGAATTAATTATAAAGCAAAGCCTTGATGAACTGGAAGTTAAGGTTCTGGTAAAATATCAAAAAGAAGGTCAGAATCTTAAATGGTATTGCTCTAAAATTAAAAATCTGAAAACAGAATGCCATGATTTAGGAAATTATATCTGCTAATTATGAATTAATTTATGAAACTAGGTATATATTTTAAATAAAGGTGATTGAACACTTCTTCCTTTATTTCATCATAATAAAACAGTTTTCTTTGAAGGGGAAATCGGAAGTACAGATTAATGGCAAAAACGAATCTCATTTTAAATCCCTAACAACTTTTTCTAATTGGTGGATATTGTTTTCCAATAAAACTAATTGCACTTTATTAGTTGTGACTGTGGCTTTGACTCTGAGCTCCCTTATTCTAGCCATCACGGAAAGTGTCTGCAAATGACTGTAGAGATCATATTAAGGGAAAAGCTTAGTACTACTGAATTAATCAATATATGCAATCAATTGATAATTCAATAACTACCTGCTCTGCTCCCATGCACACTGTTGCTCTTACTCAGAAACATCCATATTTATTTTTCAAGGAAAGGTTTTTAAGTCTGAATTACCAGATGGCTGTTCTCTTTAGCCATGCCTTAGAGTTGAGATGGGTTATTTTAATTAACACTTTTAATTCTACTTCCCATTTCTAGTTTGAAGTCAGACTGGGGAACCTGGAACATGGTGAAGGTGCTCATTCTTACCCAGCTCTGTAGCTTCACTCAGTAGAGCCAAGTTCCTAGAGTTGGGGGATTCAGTAAGTCTGCAGGGGCAAATGCTAGAGAGGAGCAGCACCTCTGCTCAGCTTCCTCTCCATTCCCTTTTGCTTTTCTCCTGTCATCTACCAACTTCAGGTCACCTGCTAGACATATATGCCAGTCCTCAGGGCCTTTAAAATAATAACCATCGCTTTTCGTAGGTTAACTGTTGTTTTTGTTGATTCACTTAACAAATCTTTATTGATCATCTCTAAAATACAAGACCTTGGGCTGGTTGCTGTAGGGTATGGAAAGATGAGTAAAACATGGGTTGTACATATTGTCATCTAGTAGGAGAATGAGATAAGTCCATAAGTGCAAAAGGAAAGTCTTCAACTCTGGCAATTCAGAAGAGAACATATTTGGAGTAGTGTGGGAGGCAGAGGAAGGAAAAAAGAAAAATTGAATAATAAAAAAAAATAACTAGTATGGAAGAGGTGGCCTTTGAACTAAGCTTTGGAAGATGAATGGGATTTTTACAGACCATTCGGGTGGGGGTATTGAGAGGACACAGAGGCATCTTGGGCAAAGAAAGAACTTGAACAAAGACTTTCATTGGTGTCTCTGAAAGATTCTTTTATGAATTATGATGGAATTACCTATACTACATAGTTTAAAGATGCAGAACTTTGTAATCATGATATGGTTTCAGTGAATGAGGAAAATTTTCCAAAATGAACTCAAGCTTGTACTTCATCTGCCTTAAATGTGAACTCATTTTACTTATTGGGGAGAAAGTCTATCAAAATGACATAGTAAAAATTCAGACCCTCCCTATTACCCTGTCCATATATCTACATATAAGCCAGAATCCCATACACATTTTGTTCACTTTATATTCTTTCAAATTGCAACTTTTGATATTAGAGTATATGGATTTTGTTTATACTTGTTTATTCAACTTAAAGCATTCACAGCATTAGGCATTGCTAGAGGATAGGTATTTTAGGGCCCTGGCTTTTAAATGTTTTAAATCTACCACCAACAGTGACAAATACATTGAACTTGGCAATCACATATATCCGTGTACACAACGGAAACCAGAGAGTCATGAAGTAACACTTATTCTTACTATGTACGATGCATTTTGATATTCTCTACCTATTTCTTTTCTTCTTAATTCTTAACTTCCGGGTTGAAACCTGCAGTTTAAAAACTTACTATCGGGTACACAAAGGAGGAACTTACAGGGAAATAACATCTGCAATACAGAACTGACACTGCCCTTTGGAGGGGAATGACCACATCCAGTTGAGGGAGTAAAATATTCATGGCTGAATGGCATTTGAAATGGATCCTGGGGAAGGAGAGTTTCAGGAAGAAGAAATTAAAGGGAGGAAAATCTATGTGGAAGGAAGACTGTGAATAGAAATATGGAGGAATAAAGTAGGGCTTGTTTGAAGTTGTCATTGAAGGGTAGGAAAGGACTGCACTCCTGCAAGGGGGAGGAAGACAAACTGCGCCACTAACAGCTTAGTCTCCATGGGGATGCCTCCCGGGAGAG